TGCTGTACTTCTTTGGGGAAATTTCATGGCTTGATAGGAATAATAAAGGATAAAGGATAATCACAACGGATTTACGAAAAATTGTTCGTCTTAAACTCTAATTAGCTAAAATTATTCAGACAGTCCAACGTTCATCGTTCCTGGGGGTCAGTTTCAACGGAGACTATATATACTTTTGGCTCAAGATTTATTCAAATATTATGGGAAGAACAATTTTAATTATACTTATTTAGAGTTTATATATAAAAAGGGATCTTATAGGCTATGATTTCTTTTACTAAAAGTATTTACAGCACCGCGCTGAGCAACAAAATTAGATACAAATATATTCAGACTCAAGTATAGAGCTATTTGGCTTCTAACTTTTTAAAGACAAATTGATTGCTACCATGAATTTAAATAGTTTCACAATATAAAACAATGATAGACTTATTTCCTAACACAGCCATATTTTCATCGACTGAAAAACTTACAAGCTAAATTCTACAAGTCTTAACGCGTTCTATTTGAAAAGATTACTAATATCCGTTTACCACGACGTTAGACTAAAGGAAACTGGTTTATAATTAAAATTACAAAGATTATCGTATTAGAACACTGAGCTGCTAAAATTTGCAGGGTATTCAAAAAAAATCACTTTGAGGTATTATGTATAACATTAACAAGTAATAATCTAAGTAAGTTAACATTTGTGTCCCCCAGACCGAATTTCAGCCACGGCGGCCAGCCTCAACGGAAGCTAGCCATCGGTGCAGGACAGAATTATAGTGTCCAAGTGTATACTCTCTATTCCCTCACTCTCATAATCCGATGGGACGGTAAACCGACACGACCGGAGAGAGATCAGGCGCAGGACCAACGGCTTTACGTGCTTTCCGAGGCACGGGGGTGAGACACCGCCAACTTCCAGACTCCGGGCAACTACTGAGAATTTCTTGACGGAAAAACTCAATAATTAATTTTTGGCCCGACCCGGGATTCGAACCCAGGACCTCATGATCAGCAGTCGCACTACTACAACCACTTGACCAGCTGACCAGGCAGTCAAGTTAACATAGTAGGCACATGTAGGTCTGGGACATAGAGATTCCCATGTTTACGGGGGGCATATAACAGAAAATAATGTGCCAACTTTGTGATTTACCTAACCTGTCAAATGTCAAAAGTTGATAAAGACGACTAATGAGATATTGAGTTTCTGATTGTGTTATTAATTAATTTATATTTATTTATTTATTTGTCTTTTCAAGCCTTTCTATTTTTGACATCCAATTATGACATATTGTAATATTATATTATTTTAATCTTATGTAATCAATCTGACAATGACATTTTGCTAAATTTATTTGACATGTAATCTTTTTGACTTCTAATCTAAAAGTAAAGTAAAGTAAAGTAAAGTTACAGCCTATATACGTCCCACTGCTGGGCTCAGGCCTCCCCTCATTTCTGAGAGGGTTTAGGGCAAGGAAGTGTCCGCCGCGCTGCCCAAAATGCGTGTTGACGAACTTCACATGTCTTCGAAATATTTTTTTTTCTTATTCCTCAGACATGCAGGTTTCCTCACGATGTTTTCCTTCACCGCCGAGCACGTGGTAAATCAGCACTTAAAATTGCAATTAACAATTTCATTGGTGCCGGCGAGGATCGAACCCGGGTTATTCGCGTTCTGTTATATTTACAGCGAGCGTTAACCACTGAGCTACCACGGCTCGACTTCTAATCTATTTGGCATGTATTTTTTATATTTATTTGATCTATTGGACATGTATTCTTTAATTTATTTGACCTTTTTGACAAGTAATCTTATATTATTATGTTTTCGGGCTATTATATTTATATACGATTTACGATACTCATAATTACTATTTTTATTATGATATAAGCTGTAGCGGTAAATGGTAAAAATAATTGGTGATGCTTTGGCTACGTTTCTTTTGGCTTATTTGGCTTAGTTTTTTTAACGTAGCGTCGTGGTAGACGGACCTAACTTTAATCTTTTAAGCAACCTTATTTCGCAGACAAAGCGTTACTTAGAAAAAGAGATTTTAAATTTCGACATAGAACAAAAAAAAATAATGATAAATTACAATTACAAACAAATTAAAAAACATTATATATTAATATCAAGCGAAAAGATAATTTTTAAGTTTTCATCAAAACCCAATATCATTCCTTCCTTAACAATTAAATATTAATATAATACCATAATTCACAGCCTATTTTGGCTTCGAGTACTTATATATTAAAACTATGTGTTTTAAATAACAGGCCGTGTGGCAATCCATTTCAGTCCCCAGTAAAAATGCACCTGCATTCTTGTCTTGAGATTTATTGCAGGTGTACATGGGCTTTTGTACTCACTCTACTCACCGATTATGTGAAACACTAAGCCTTTGTCCCTCTATTATTAAAATATGTTTAGCAAAAAGAAATATAATGAATGATTTATTCTATTATCGGGAATAGCACATTTTTTCTTTAATAGCGTTTTAAATTTACGCTCATGCGATAACAGGCTTAGAATGTTACTTAATAGCCACTTAATAAACTTATTTAAGAGTTAATAAAGATTGCAAAATGGTGTATGTGTAATATATGATAACATATTTACTCTTAGTATAATGCACGACAAAATAACGTCCATGATTTCCAAAATCACGAACAATGAAACTTTTCTTTTTTGTAGAATAAGGGTGACAAACGAGCACACAGTCCACCTGATGGTAAGTGGATGCTGCGGCCCATAGACGTCTACACTTATCCTCGATTAAGAATCAAAACTCAGTGTCACCCTTAAGGACAAAGTGTAATGCCTCGTTACCAGTAAAAAAGGGCCTCTGGATCTCTACACTCACCAAACGAAACACAGCAGTATTGAGCTGCTATTTTACGCTGGTATTCTGTGAGCGTGTGGTCCGTACCCGATCGAGCTCACCCATTCGTGCTACAACCATATTATAGCTGCAGCGTGGCTCCACCGCGTATGATCTCTTCACGTAACTTTACGGATAGCTGAATAAGTTATGCCAATTATATAGAACTGTAAAAAAAATCCTGAATTGTTGCTTTTATTACTTATTACTTATGCCACTAAAAAAAATTAAAGTTGCAGCCTATATACGCCCCACTGCTGGGCACAGGCCTCCTCCCATTTCTTAGAGGGTTTTAGAGAAAGGTAGTGTCAGCCGCAAGTGTATTTGCGGACTTCATATTTCGGGGAAATATTTTTTTACTTCTCAGAAATGCAGTTTTCCTCACGATGTTTTCCTTCACCACCGAATACGTGGTTAATAAGCACTTAAAATTGCAAATATCAATTTCGTTGGTGCCGGCGGGGATCGAACCCAGGTTGCATGCTTACTTTGAAATTTACATCGAGCGCTAAGTTCCTGAGTTACCACGGCTTTTTTAGCCAAGGTTTTAAGCCAGTGCTTGAATAAAATCCTACCTTGCCGACGATTTCTACTCGGTTTGACTTCGACTCCGCTATTTAAAAGATTTTATAAGAGCGGAAATATTTTAAAACTCAAGACGCAATGTATTACAAAGTGACTACAATTTTGTTGTCAACAAAGTTAGCAAATACGTCTGCTGGCGGTTAGTGAGTTTAGGGCCCAGATGTTAAATTAGCGTAGCATAATCCTATTTACTATTTTTATCATACTTTGCAATTTTGCACAAAATGTTGGCTTCAACTGGGATTAGTACTCAGAATCCATCACACAAGACGACAAGTATTAATTATGTAACGCATGTATTATTAGCTGTACAGCTATTATTAGATAGTGTTGTGCAGAAATGAACCAACCCATAAACTGGCCAGAACAATAATCCAGAGGCTCTTTTTTATTTCCATTAGTCTTTCCAGTAGAATTTCCTACTAGGAACTTCCTTATGGGAAATTCCTAATGGAGAGTTACTAGTAAGGCTATTGGGAATCATCCCGGCGTACTGTATTTTTAGAAGTCTTACCAAATCCTAATCTTATTAGTAAAACTACTCGGGATTTTTTTAACAAGTGGAACTAACTGGTTAGACTACTAGGGTAGAAAGTACTCAATAGTCAAACAGAATATTTTCATCGGTACATAACTGAGTTATTTTATTTTTATTATAATAATGCGTTTCACGTTAGCCTAATTTGGTTAGTGTTCATTTCTATAAATGTTAGGAAAAGTACTAGGCAAGCATAGACGTGAAAGAGACAGTGGAAGAGTTCTTCACACCGTATTTCGGTTACGGAGGCTAGTGTCAACGGAGACTAGACATATGCGGGGCAGAAATATTGTGCCAGAATGTATGCGCAAGCATATGTGAACTTTTTTGCCTCAGTATCATAATTCGATGGAACGGTAATCCGACACGACCAGATAGAGATCAGGGGTAGAAACAACATCTGTACATGCTTTCTGAGTCCAGTCTGCTACCATAGAGTACCTTTATATATACTGAAAGCTGCTACTGAGAAGTTCTTTAACAGAAAAACATATTATAACTGATTTTTGACCCTACCCAGGAACGTGAAATGCATAATTATGACATAAAGAAAGTAGTTAGGTACTGATAAATATATTCTATTGGACTACTGAGTGTTTTCTACCCTAGTGGTTTATTATTTGTAAGTACGTTGTGCAGTAATACTACTTGGTAAGACAACTAAAAATATCCCTTTATCGGTTTATTTTCACCTATAAACGATTTCTGAAAAATAGCAAGTAATTCCAAAATCTTCATCAACTTTTCTTTAAAATAATACACAACGCGACATAAACGGGATTCAATCTCAAAAAATGCACCTATTTACTTTAAAATCTGAATTAATTTATGTTTTTGCGGGGCTGTAGCATTATTGCACAACACGCTCTAAATTGAATACCCACAATTTGAATTGAATATTTAACAAATATTTTAAGTGTTTTAACAAAATAAAATTGAATTGCTTCATTTTCAGGACTACTTCTTAGGTTCTTGGTTTTTGATAATACATAGCTTGATCCTTATGACTCGCCACTATCAACAGGCAGAAACTGCTGCTGTGCAACTGATGACAGAACCATATCTATAGGCTTAGTGTCGTCGTACAGGGATGGCGCCTCACACAGAATCGCAAATGTTCCGACGATTGAAGCGATTGTGAAAATCCAAAGGAATAATCTATCCAACACCATGGCAACAAAGCCCCAGTCTTGATCTTCCTAAAGATAAAAGGTAATATTAGTTGTGTCGTTATTATAGCCGATCAAAATTTCACTGTTGAAAGGCCTTCTACATAGATAGCCTTGTTATATCTCTCTTATTTGCGATAGTGGCCACATTTGGCGGATCGAAAATACTAAAGTAACTTTATTTGATAGTCAACATCATTTAATAAGTAGAATAATATCTTACTCCCTTTGCAACAAGAGGCTCGAAGTCTAGCGGTGAATTTTTATGCGATAATAAAGAATAGAAAAAAGATAAATATGTAAAAAGTTACATATTATAATAAACTAGTTAGTGGTAGTAGAACATTTAAAAGACGAAAAGGCAGTATATGGGAATAATTCACTCGTAAATATTTGAGGCAAATGTAGGGTGACCCCAACTAGGTAGAGTGACGACCTGGTAAGACATGCAAGATGTCGATGAATGCAGGTGGCTCAGGACCGTACCTTGAGGCATTCCTTGGCCTATGTTCAGCAGTGGACTTGTGGAAGGGTTGCAATGAATTAATGAATATTTGAATGTCTTTGTTCAAAAGCTAAAATTACGGTTGTGGCTGTTGGTTTATCTATTATAAATTGTATCGAAGCAAAATCCCACATTCCCACAGCATTACTAGTGCGAGGATATCGATTTTGCACTCACCTACATAACCAGCGGATAAGTTATTTATCAGTTGACAAATTCCTAAAATATCTACAAAGAGAAGATAGTTTACATAATAATATGTATTTTTATTCAACTTACCGCATTGAACTCGTCTTGTCTTTGCATGTGATGTTGTATAAACATAACATTATGGATTGCCTTCTCCAGTTCGAATGGGTATTTCTTTCGAGGAGCTACGTCACTCAAAGAATCATCAAGACCTGACATAACCGAAGGAAGACCATTATATCCCGCACCGAGACTTCCTAGTGCACCAACTAGCCCACTGAATCTATTTAAGAAATGTTCTGTATTACAAATATGTTTTTTAATTTTGCAATACACATCTGTTGCATATAAAAAATCAAAGAAAAAGCCTGTACTTGTACCACTGATGGTCATAATGTCTCCTCTAAATTCTAAGGTAGGTTTGGAGCTGGGAAGAGACTAATGGACTGTTTCAATGCAGAATATGGTCAAGCAACGATTCAAAATTAAACTGTTGTTGCCTGTAGATTGTTAAATTAAAGACGAGTAAAAGAATACGCCTGGATAGATTATTGTTTAATAACTTTAAGTCTTTCAACTGCGTTGAAGTTCTAGTAAAAATAGTTTGGAATTTAACAGACTGGTGAAATTTTTTTTCATCAGTCTGTTAAATTCCACTGCTGGACATGAGCATCTTCCAAGTCGCTGTGGAAAGGATTTACTATAATTGACACACTTGATGGGTTTATGTTATATCACTGACAGTTTTAAATTTTCACGCTTCTCTTTGTGAGATATAATGAGAAAGTAATAATAGTAATTTCAGATAATTAAGCATTCAAACTTTTTCTTTGAGGTGATAACGAATTCGTAGCCACCGTTTCTTAAAGTTGGTTGTAGGTGTCAACGGGCAGTGGTCACTAAATATTAAGTGTACTGCACTCTAATTTTATTACGTATATTATTATGTAATTGAATTGGAACAAATACAAATTATAATAAAGCTTAATATATTATGTAGTTTTTTTAAAGAATAAGGGTGACAATCGAGCATACAGTCGACCTGATAGTAAAAGGATTCTGTGGCCCATAGACATCTACATTTATCCTCGATTAAGAATCAAAACACAGATGCGTTGTCACACCTGACGACTTAGATGGAATGTCTCGTTTCCAGTAAAATGGGCCTCCGGATCTCTACACTCAACATACGAAACACAGCAGTATTAAGCTGCTATTTTACGCTGGTATTCTGTGAGAGCGTTGTCCTTCCCCGGTCGAGCCGACCCACTCGTGCTACAACCATAAAATATCTGCAGCGTGACCATACCTCGTATAAAATTACTATATTAAACTATATAGGTGTATATGTATATTAAACTACCAATCAAAAGCTAATTATTTTCTACTTATTGAAAATAATCCACTAAAACTTATCACCTGTTAGTTGCGGTAGTGGAATGCAGTCCATTACATCCCCCGGGCATGTTGTGACGCAGTGAATCTGGACTGGAGATATTCGAGTTAGATTGTTCAACCGCCGCTAGTGCATTTTTTAATTTATTCTTTTTCATGCTTCTGCCGGCAATTTTCTGGGCTGCAAGATCTCTTAGCAGATCTTTTGGAACCCGCATAAGTAAAAGTTTAGGTAGCTTGGTTATGAAGAACTTCCTCACCCATGGCGCCATTTTATGAGTACTAGGTTTACGGTAGTGAACGTTCAGTATTATTATTGTTATAACTACTGAAAGTCCAACAAGCAGCATTGTGAAAAGTAAGTATTTACCAAGTAGAGGCAAAGCGAGTGATGTTGAAGGTATGATCTCGGATATGAGCAAAAAGAACATCGTCTGTGAGAGCAAAATCGAAATACTCAATGCAATTTTTTCCCCTGAGTCCGCTGGTAAGTAGAAAACTAGCACGGACAGGTATGATATACCGACGCATGGAACGATAAGGTTGACGGTGTAAAACAACGTTTTCCTTCTTAGCGTTATGTTGAAGAAGATATCTGAAACAAATTTTTCATATATAAAATATTAAAACAAAATTAAGATCTTACCTCCTACTTAACACTGATCTTGACATTTAGAAATGAAGTTACCAAGCGTCTAGTTATTTAACTACCTAAGTTACTAAAATTATAGATTAAGTACGATTTTTAGACTATTTAAAACACAATGTAATATCGTGTATATTCTAGTTTTCTTTATCAAACCTGGAAATATCGATAGAATAATGATAGCATTATTTACAAACACTTGATGTTTTATAGATGGTATTTTACTTACAAATGATAAATAAATAAAAAAAAACTTTTATCAACTGATTAACTTCATAATCGTTTACATAAATAGAGGAGAGTCACAAAGCTGCAGCGACGTTAACAGTAGGTGGTTCAAGAATCACTAGTGTGCAATATTTTTAATAATTTAGTGCTTGCAACATGAAAAGACAAAAAGAAAATGTAATATGGAAAAAAGTGTTTTAGTTTTAACATTTTAATAATAAATCCTTGTTTGATTATCAGATAAAATAAAACAAATAAATAACTTATAATGCAATTTTTAACCTAGGTCAAAAAGGAGGTATTCAATTTGACTCTAAAGTTTTTTTTCTATTTCTTCTCGTATATGTTAGAGTTATGCTGAGGCTATATTATAGATATAGCACGAATTAGTCGGCCCTATCAGGGAAAGACCACGCTCTCTCAGAATACCAATTTAAAAAAGCAGCATGTGCTGTATTTCGTATAATGAGTGTAGAGAACCGGAAACCCTTTTAATTGCAATAGCTTTACCGTATAAATATAAAATTTATTAATTACTCGACTATAGCCAGCCATCGGGATTACATTTTGTGATAAATTTTTTTAGCACTTAACAAATACAATATATTGTGAATAAATAAGTTTAGATCCATAAATAAAGAATTAGTTTATAAATTAACTACAGCGCCATCTGTCGTACCTTATCGAAGCAATAAACCTATTAAACTACAAAAGATATTGTGTGAATAAATCCTCAATCGGTTAAGGCTATCAGCAGTTACACGGTCACTAACAGATGCACGCAACGCAAAATGAAGAGGGGGCAAAATTGGCTCACCTGATGTTAAGTGGGAATTGCAGTGTCCCTAAGGATTTTCTTGAACAGAACCAATTTCAGTAATACTTGGATCATAATATCATCAAAAATGCATTTCGCTGTTTGAAACATAAATCAAATCAGCTTTATAGTTGAATAAAAAAATTCGAAATGAAATGTGTTTATATTAAATGAAATGATTTTATAAAAAATTAAATGAAGTATTATTCTTGTATATTTACTTACTTTCTACTTAAGGGAGAAAGTTTTAATAAACATAAATACATCATACGTAAAATTGTACGTAAAACGTTGTCGTAAAATGTATTATACAAGACAGGCGAACATCCGCAAAGCCATTAATGCTGTAATAAAAAAGTATTTCTCTCGAGTGAGTCATTTGTGCCGAGTCAAAATGAAAAGTCCTGTCATCTATCATAATTATTATTAGTCGAAAAGACGTCATTATCAATTTGAGTGGTATACATTACAAAATATAAAGAGTCATTGATATTTATGGATCTGGTGGCCCCGACCGACTCCAATGACGATGTTATGCCCGTGACTTAATTTCATCAAACTAAATTTTTTGGATAAGGTGAACTTAAATAATACAATTGTTGGTGTATTAACAATTTCCCTTCCCCCCTCTCTTAGACTGAAAAAAAATTTCTGCACGGTTGGAATTGACCTGTCCTCTACAGCATGACCATGTTTGAGCGAAATAAATTTACTTTTTTTATCTGTTTCGTAAAATGTGCTGCTGGACACGAGCCTCCGCTTCGTTCTCTCTCTTTTTTTATAGAAGAGTGGACAAACGAGCATAAGGCTCACCAGATGGTAAGTGATTACCCCACGCCCACGCCCACGAACAACTGTAATGTGAAGAATGTAAAGATGCTTTGCCGGCCTCAAATCTATCATTAGCTAAATGATCATACCGATATGTATCTGTAGTCATGATACCACCGTGACCTTTTAAGGCAATTCTCATAGCAGCCTCGTGATACTCACGACATTATGACGGATTATCTTATGTTGTAATCACACGACACTTAAAGTAAAATAATGTAGTTATTATTTATTTAATGCCTACGAGTATAGTCTATTAGCATTATTTATAGTGCCCGGTTGACCGAGCTTTGATCGGTATTTTTCGCTCGGTTTTTTTTTTTAATTCGTGTGTTTTGGAAATTATATTTAGATGCAAATTACATACTGATGAAAAACGAATAATATTTTTTGATCTTAGCGACATAATAGAAAAAACTAAACTGGTTATTTGAATAAAAAATCATGAGTGCAATTAGTTTAATTTAAATTTTCGTGTTTTTAAAAAATACTAAAAAAAAGGGCTCGAAAAAATAGATTTTCTCAAAAAAAGAAAGGAACTTGAAAAAAAAATTAAAAAAAACGGTCGGTTGGTCTGGGCTCGAGAACCATGGTTTTACGATTTTGTGACCGTCCAATATACTAACTACGCTATTTGTAATTATTAATAAATTGTCAAAATTTACCTTCTTATTCTAACGATATTGTAGCAGTTTTTCATTGCCTAAAAACACGGACAAAAAAGACATTTTCTAAAAACAAATCCTAGCTAGATCGATTTATTGCCCCCGAAACTCCCTGCACACAAAATTTTATGAAAATCGTTGGAGCCGTTTCCGAGATTCCGATTATATATATAAATATACAAGAATTGCTCGTTTAAGGCTAAAGGATTCACATTATAATGCATTCATTGTAAAATACTTATTTATTGCCATGTATTGGCGTAGTTAGTCCTCATTCTAGGACACTTACGAAGAATTCCTAGTTCATGGTTTAGAATTATTACGGAACAAACTGAGCGGGTTTGGTAAAGGAGTGTTCAGAGATGATTTTGCTACTTACAATGGTTACAAATCAAATAAAATAATAGTATATCCCATGGGGTTATATGGGCGCTTCTATTTTTAGTATTTACTAACGATTCATAATGTAATTTATCATTTTATATTCCAAATTTTTTTTTGATGACCTTATAATTTACACAGAAAAGTTACTGATTCTTCCGACATGGTTTATACTGAAGAAGAGCTTGACGTACTTCACAAATGGTATTATAGTAGTTGTAATGTACCCACATTCGGTTTACTCGCAAAAAAGTTATTAAACTGTCATATAGTCTTAATAGTCCAGAAAGAATCGGCGCATGAGTACCGAAAACTATTTTGCCTCAATTTTTTTATACGATTATCTTTAAATTGTCCTACTGGTGACATAAAATGCATGTTACAATGGAACAACGCGGTGCCATATTGTATAAACCAATTTTTGTTCAATAGCAAGGAAAAGTTATTTTCAAACAGGACATTTTTTATATTTTTGTTAAAATATAAATAAAAAAAGGTCCCATGATTTTTTTATGATAAAGTTAATATTTTGACCCATTAAAATACATAAAGAAAAATAAAAATATTTAAAAGATTTTTTTATATTTCTTGATAAAATACAAATAAAAATGTTTTTACGATGAGGCAAATATTTTCGGAGTTATGAATTTTAAAATGTTTGAAAAATTCCAAATTCGTATACATTTGACCTATTAAAATGATACTCCACATTAAAACTACATAAAGAAATATAATAAAATATAAAAGATATTTTTTATATTCTCTGATGAAATATAAATAAAAGGTCCTATGATTTTTACGATAAAGTAATATATTTTAACGATTTTATCAAGTTTCGGATACTTTTGACTCATAAAAAATATTTTTAATGACTCAGAAATATATAATATTAAATATATAAACTGTTTGAAAATAAAAATACCTCGCAATTGAGAAAAAATCGTTTTAAACAATATAGCACCGAGATGTCCCATGGCAACATGCATTTATGTCATCAGTAAGACAATTTGAAGAGAATCGCATAAAAATTGAGGTGCACTAGTTTTCGGTACGCATGCGTTGATTCCTCCTGGACTATAATGGAATCACTTTAGAGATCAAGCAGGTTTGCGATATTGGCATGAATTTAGTTTAAATTATTATAAATATTATTATTAGTAATATAATGATTGGAAATACGTTTTAAAAAAAGTCCCGCTGCGTTTCTTGCTGGTTCTTTCCAGGACAGGTTTTTTTCGAACCAGTGATAAATAAAAAAAATGCTTTCAATACATATTAGGCAATAAGGATTTAAAAAAAAAACTAAACTCGGATTTACAACAAAGATTAGCTTTTAAAATGATTTGGTTTTACTATGACATCTATCAAAGACTTTACAAGTAAATCCGTAAAGGTTATATGGTATACAATGCCCTCGTAAGAACTCAATTTGATTACAATAGCAGTTTTTGGTGTCCCCTTTTACAATACACATATAGATCATATAGAAAGCGTTTCTTAAGATATATTTGCGAAACGTAGAAAATTAGATTTATTATATTACTTTGTTAAGCATGTGTATGTGTGTCATTTAAAAATATATAAATAGAATTCGGTACATGGGGTTAAATTATTTAATGTGTTTCAATGACAGAATATGCTATCAGTACCTACTTAATTCTTTAATTGTTTATCTCAATACGAATGACAAGCAATAAGTTGGGGTTGTGGTGGTGTAAGAATATCCACTAACCCATATCATTCCGTGGGTGTCATAAGAGGCGGCAAAAGGAAACAAAGCAGGAGATGGGCAGCAGCGTCTTCCACATAACGACTAAAATGAAAAACTTCGGTTGTCAACTAGCTTCCCAAGCGTGGCAACCATGGCAAATATCCCCCTATGAGCAATATGGGCTCCAAAAGTTCATTTCTTATGCAACCTTACAACTTTCTTATTCTTTTATTAAATCGTTTTTGAATTATTTGTCAAGCAAAATATTTACACATATTGTATACACACACACACACACACACACACACACACACACACACACACACACACACACACACACACACACACACACACACACACACACACACACACACACACACACACACACACACACACACACACACACGCATGCAAAGGGCGCAAACAAAACGCGCACACACACACATTATTATATACATATATATATATATATATATATACGATAATTGATTTTTTTGCCCAACCCGGGACCCAGGATCTCATGGTCAACAGTCGCACTACTACAACCACTAGACCAACGAGGCAGTCCTTATCATAGTATTTATCAAGCATACGTCGAAGTAAAAATAGCATAATATTATAAGGTAACGCTGTTATTGCTTGGAATAAAATATTCTACTTGACTACTTGTGAGTTTCTTGAGGATTTGCTTGATTTTCAAAAAGTGATTTTAAAATGTAAAATAAATCTAAATAAGTATTTTTACTTCGACGTATGCTTGATAAATACTATGATAAGGACTGCCTCGTTGGTCTAGTGGATGTAGTAGTGCGACTGTTGACCATGAGATCCTGGGTCCCGGGTTGGGCCAAAAAATCAATTATTCAGTTTACTGTTAAATTCCCAGTGGCTGCTTGGAGTCAGAGAGTTGACGGTATCTAACCCCCGTGCCTCGGAAAGCACGTAAAGCCGTTGGTCCTGCGCCTGATCTCTTTCCGGTTGTGTCGGTTTACCATCCTTTCGGATTTTGAGAGTGAGGGAATAGAGGGTGCACCTGTGCTTGCACATACAATTGTTAGCTATTATTTGAAAAAAAAATAGTCCCGCTGAGTTTCTTACTGGTTTTTCCCAGAACAGAGTTTTTTTTTGTTTTTGCGATCCAGTGGTAAATGAAAAAAGTGACTTTCAATAAGTGTATATAATCTACATTGAATAAAAAAGTTTCTGTTTCTGTTTCTATTGAGCACTTTAATACTGTGTGCGCCGATGGCTAGTCTCCGTTGAGGTTGGTTGCCATGACCGAAATTCGGTCTGGAGCACATTACAATAATAATATAATAATAACTGTTAAAGTTTTAACATTTTTCATTCAATAATCCATCATTCATTATAGACTATCAAATTGCTGAACATAGGCCTCCCCGTGGATTGCTTCTTAGGGGATCATTTCAATAGTTGGCACGCTTGGCAGGCAGGTTGGCAAACGCAGTCTTTCATTTTCTTCCTTGTTGTTAGAAACACGCTGCTGCCCATAACCTGGTTATTTTCCTCCTATTGCCCCTTACGACACACACGCGACGATAAGGGGTAGTCGATATTCTTACATCGCCACCACACGGTTGCTTAACACATTCGAGTGTTTAATGTAGGCTTAATTAATAAGCAGTACAAAAATAACAAATTATATAAATTCTGTAGTGATATAGACTGTTTTAAGCCTGTCTACTTCAAAGGTCATTAATAGCAAACTAAGATTAAAATTTACCGTAAGATGAACAATGATTATATCATGGGGCTAATATTTAGTACTATACATAAGTAAGTACTCACAGAAATGTCGCATCTGAACAAATTAGTTTCATAATCTATATTCCATGACACGAGATGGCGTCTTAGGAATAATTTGTTTTATTGTTAACCTATAATACTTTTTTATTTATTAAGTATCTTATTACCGATGAAAAGTAATTCCTTGGTATTTAACATTTCTTGAATTATTTGTGCAATATCTAAAAACACACCATGGCATATTTTATCAAGAGATTTTTTTATGTTATCAACCAACACATGTCAATTAACTAGCGCCTGGCGAATGAATGAGAAAAGTGCGGCGATAACGTCGCAATTGAATGGGACAGCGTAACTAAATGCAGTGTCGCCTCTAATACGTAGTACATATTAGCTAAGTACATATTACTTCAATGACTATACAAATATTATACCGTTTTAAATTTAAGCCAGTATTCAAGTGTTCGAAGTAAATCGCTTATATATGAAATTATTTCATATTTTTTTGTTTCAAACTAAAAAGGGTAAGACTCGAAAACACCTACCAATATATTTACCCGAGCCTGTTTCTTTTTCCAAGCGTATTCCATACATTATAGTCGGAATACCTCGAGCGCTCGCGTTATGGCTAATCTCCGCGTTGGCTGTAAATTACATCGCGGCGCGTCGTCGACGCTTATCTATGTTAAATTACTGCGTTTTACTGCGAACTTGAACAGGTTAAACGCTTGTTTTGCTAATGCTTACAAAGAGCAGTTAACGGTCTCGCTGCGTGAATACTGATGGTGCCCCTGATGTGTCTGGTTGATTTATGTATTTTTAAACTGTTGAACAAGGATGATACAGCATTTTTGTAAGAAATTCGGCTTCTTGAACATAGTAATGTTTATTAAGTTTCTATTTAAGAGTTTATTTGTGTTTATAAATACACTATTAGCATAAAATTGTGTCAAATTTCATATGCAGCTATTTTTCGACACACAGACAAACATTAATAACATGACCGAAGCCTGGAGTCAGGAAGTTAGCGGTGTTTTACCCCAGAGCCATGCAAAATTTTAATATAGCTGCAGAATAAATGAGTCGGCTTGAGTAGGACCACGTTCTCACAGAGCCTTAAACAATAAATAACACTATCCAATCCTGGTGATTTTCGTAAAGTGAGTGTAGAGAACCGGATACCCTTTTCACTGGTAAGAAGGTGTAGCATCTTAGTTCTCAGAGGTGACAACGCATTTGCATTTTGATTTTTAATCGAGGATGGATGTTGATGTTTATAAGCCACAGTATCCACTTACGATCAGGTAGACTGTGTGCTCGTTCGCCACTCTTACTGCGTCTTTGGTTCTTGCTATTAACAATACGATACACAGGGACATAATATTATACTGCTATTAACGCTGGTATTCTGTGCGAGTGTGATCTTTCTGTGGTCGCGTCGACCCAGTCATGCTTAAACCATAATACATGCAACGTGACTCTATTACGTAATGAAAAACGTTTAAATAAATTGTTAATTTGTATTTTATAATATTAATAAAATTATAATAATTTAATATTTATGCTTATAAAATAAATAGTTATTTGGTTTTCGAACTGAAACAATATTAAATATTGTGTGTTTATGTGTAACTTTAATGATTTTGCGTGGTAATTGTTATACATTCATATTTTAACTGTACCAAAATAAAAAAGGTTCTGTATTCGGTGCGTTTGTATGCTCAATGATTTCTCAGAAATGGATTTCCATAAAAATTTAAAGAAAACATTCTATCCCTAAGGGTCCAAAATAGGGGATGACAATTTATTGTATCGTACATTAAAGTTTTCCAAATTCGTTCGTACAGACAATGTACGATATTTTAAACGACATTCTATTTGTTACCTTGAATTTGTGATATTCTTTACACTTAGGTTACTACATTTAAACATTTTGTTTTTGTGTCTACGTTTTTACTTCTTATTAAAAGCTTAATAACGTGTTTTGTTGTGTATATCTGTTCTGTTCCATTATTTTCTATTTCGTTCTATTCTAATTACCTGGATAGGGTTCCTGACAACATGGGTAGTACCGCTCATGCCTTTCTGCAGGCACTCCAAGAATGTCCCACTCCACAGATGGGTAGTACTCACGTAGATCGATACCTACCTCGACCATATCACCCTTTTTCTGATTTATGTGCTTTAAATCAATCTGAAACGTGAAATGGTGTGTAATCACAAAGGTTTAAATATTCCAGATTGAAAAAAAGTCTTTTTTAATGTCTTCTTCTTCCTCATCATCGACTCATGAAAGTCCACTGCTGGGCAAGAATCACTCTTTATTATACGTATGTACACATTAAGAAGAGCCGTGGTAGCTCAGATGGTTAGCGCTCGCTGTAAATTTCACAGTACGTGAGCAAACCGGGTTCAATCATCGCCGGCCCCAACGAAATTGTTAATTAAAATTGTAAGTGCTGATTTACCCCGTGTTCGGCGGCGACGGAAAACATCGTCAGGAAAACTGCATTTCTGAGAAATAAGAAAAAAAATATTTCGAAGACCCTCTCAGAAATGAGAGGAGGCCTGTGCTCAGCAGTTGGACGTATATCGGCTGTAACTTCAACTTTAACAGATTAACGATCGCAGCACACTCGTTTTACTACTTTGACGCTGATACCTTGTTCGACGTTTTGTCTGACCTGAACGAAATAGTTAATAATATTACAGAATACAAGCCTAAAATAACAGCTGAATGCGTTTCGTATGGTTCCATCTTAGTCTTCAAGGGTGACAACGTATTAACATTTCGGTTCGTGATCGAGGATAGATATCAATGGGTCACAGTATTACCAACAGGTGGACCTCTATATATCGCAAGTTTTATAACTATCTGGACAGTCGACAACCATAAAACGAATTGATGTGTTGGATTGTCTCATGTCGCCCACACTAAATGACGAAAAAGAATTCAAAATTACGATTGCTAACATTATCTTTTATTTAGTATTACCTGGTCTCCATCATAACTCCATGAGCCAAATTTCAGGAAACAAGTTTGCTGATCGAAGGGGAAGTAGCGCACGTCGATTTCGCAGGAAGATTTAAATATGGCTGGAGGAGTCCATAAAACCTTACCGTTGTGATGAAGGACCGCTTTTGTCATTGTTGTCACCACGTACTCTCCATCAGCGCTGGAGAATATTAATTTAATTAATGTATGCTCTTAGTTTCTCGAGTATAGAAAGGTTCACGAGTAGTAAACTCGTAACAGTAAGGAAAATGTAGGACTTCCCTCCTCTAGATGGAGTAACGACCTTAGCACAGTGTTTTGTGGCATTCCTTGGGGTAATTCTATATTCAGCAGTAGACTTATCAAGCGCTGTAATGATGATGGTGATGATAATGTTCAAAAAGAGATTCTCATATTTAAAAAATTGCATATGGAAAACTTAAAATAAAATAATTTTAGTAATGACCATTTTAATATAAATTTTAGATACTTAAACTAAGAATTTCTGTAATCTAAGGATAAAATGTATCGATATACATCAATTAACATACATATTACGCGTCACAGTATATATACACTTTATGTATTTTATATTTTGCTTATATTATATACAAATATATAAGAAAAAAGTTTCCAAACTCAACGTGAACATGGCAGAACTCATCAATAAAAGCTAGTGAATGTAGTTGATTGTTACGAACAAATTCAGCGTACGTCATAATGTGAGTGCTTTTGTGAAAATGGAAAAAAATGAGTATCGAACTGTCATGAATTTTTTGATTTTTGAAAGGAAATACGCCTACGCAAATCAAAGATGAGTATGACTCTGTGTATAGAGACTCTTCACCGTCATTTACCACAGTGAAATTTTGGGCAGCTGAATTTCAACGTGGCTGTGAGAGCTTGGGAGATGATGAACGTTAGGAATGTCCAAAAATTGCAACTAGTGACGATAACATCGCTAAAGTTCACCAAATAGTGCTACAAAACCGCCAAATGAAAGTGGAAGGAATAACAGAGGCTATGAAAATGTACAAAAAACGAGTTTGTCATATATTAAATCAAGATTTAGGTAGAAGAAAGATATCAGCGCGTTGGATGCCGCGTTTGCTCACTTTAGACCAAAAACGTGTTCGAACGAACAACGCGCCAACAGAGCGTTGGTATTTTTAGCATTTGTTGGCATTAATTAGACGCAATAAATCCAAGTCTTGGCGCCGATTAATTACTGTAGATGAAACTTGGATACACTATCATACGCCCGAAACAAAAATACAGTCAAAACAGTGCATTGCAAAGGGGTAACCTGCTTCAAAAAAGTAATGTAATGTTGACTGTTTTTTTGGAATAGCCATGGAGTTATCTTAATTGAATATCATACACTGATAGCATACTACTGATCATTACTTGACAAAGTGAAGGCGAAAATTGCGGAAAAACGGCCATATTTACAGAAAAAGAAAATCCTGATGATTTTTTATATTTACGCGAACACTACCAAATATAAAATAACGAAGGCTTTGATGTTAGTATGTAGATGGTAACCATAGATTCGGCCCGAGCAGATTGAACCCTATGAAACTTAAGAAGGGAATGGTTAGGTAGTATTATTATAATGCTTTTATTTCTCTTTGTGTCATAGTCACTCAAAAATATATTTAATTAATTGAACTAATGCCTAAAATTGGAATATCAGAGTTTATTTAGGATGTTTCATATTTTACATTTTTAGTGTTTAAATAATATTTAAAATTTACACTAATTATAGTGAACGGATTTTTGTATTATTGGTATATATCTGTAAGTCAAATGCTGTTCTTGATAAACACAAACAATTGATTAATACAAAATAATAAAAAAATGTACTGAGTAAACTTACATGTAAACAGAGAGGGCCACTGTAAGAGAAATGTTGAACGAAGCTAAATTCTCTACGTGATAATTAAAAAAATGTGATTGCTGAGAATATTTTTAACTGCTTTATGTATAGATATTATATAAGTAAACCAGAATGTACCCGTAGTTCAATGAGCAGTACATAGTAGCCGTACGTATGTTGTGATCAAATGGAAGCTATTGTTTTACAACTGTGGTCGCTGTGGTATTGGCGTTTAACAATTGTGACAGCTAGTGCCTTACAGCGTGATTCTTGCATTTGTAGGTTTCCCGCAGCGTCAACCTCTTCACCAATGGCATCTCATTATTGAGCATAATTCTAACGTATATTTATAACCATATTGGCATTTGATTTGCTTGCTGACGATTGTTAATGTCGTTTTATGTATCTGTTATATGTGTAAGTGTAAGGCGAACCCTCCTCCCCCCACCAACGGAATTGCAGTTAATTGATGCAGTAGACTCTGGTACTGCTTGCTAACCACACAAGACACTGCTTCTCTAGTCTGTCTCGCATTCGAACATCGCTTTAAATGAGCTTTTGTTGTCGAGCATAATTTTATTAAATTATCATACACTAATAGGAAACTAGTTATTATTTGTATTATTATTTTCATTAGATCTCTGTTGTACCTATATGAAGTTGTTTATATTCATTGTTCATTTGTACTGTAAGAGAAGTGAACTGGTCTCGATGTCTCCCTACTATATATACGTAATTACATAGCTTCAATGACCAAATCCATGTAGTTTTCCCACGAAAAATAAATAAAAATCTCCCGATTTCTCAATGTTGGCAAATGTTTTATACTCTGCGGTCTTAAATTAGTCGCATTTGTACCTTGATCGTACTTGTACACGAATATTGAACTTTACATAAGTGAAGTAACGACAAATCCAATTCTGAAAATATACATAATTTAAATTTTGATGACAGACTGATAGCTGTTATTAAGAAAATATTTTTAATATTATCCAGTTAGTCGGATGAGAATATTTATTTTATTAGAGGTTTCCTACTGCCAGCGACACGTGTTTATGTGACGAGACAAAATTGCCCCGCATATTTTTTTATTTTAGTATTTTATGGAAGTGCATAACGCCATTGTGCGGATGCTGTACATCAACGGGTGTTGTACAAACGCGAACAAGTTTAAAAAGAACCCACCACACTTAGATATACGTTGGTGCGCCTCCCACTTAGTCGAAATCTAAATAAAAGTACTATTTGTATGGGTTAGAGAGCTGGAAGCATTGCTGGGGGAAGTGTGTAGTTACAAGGAGACTATATAGGAAAAAAAATATGAAAAAAAATATGAAAAAACTTCTTGTAATATTTGTTAGCCCCTCGTCTGTCCAAACGCCATAATATGGCGTCGAGTGATATCAAACTATTTGTAACATATATATGATATATATAACAAACATATATATATAACGTATATATCTGTTATGCATAATCTGATAGCTTATTTAATAACGTTTCCACTGATATATGATTTTAATATTAATTTACTAAGAAAAAATAAAAAAATTGTATACTTGTTATATACCTACTTAGTACTTCGGAAAGTGCTCGACAGATGCGCCATATTGGCCAAAATGACCCCGATATTCGAGTGGTTAGGTTGGAAGTGAATCCCAGCAGGACTATTGATTTTGTTTCTTGCTGGTTCTTTCTAAGACAGAGGATTTTCCCGAACCAGTAGTTATGTAAAAAAATGAAGCTCTCAGGAAAAGTCAAGAGAACAAAAATACATTTTAACAAATTCACAAATTTTAACACATAACAATTTCACTGGTAGCCCCCAATAATACTCCAAGCAACAGATGTCGCTAGTTGACACTGAGGTGAAGCTCCGCCATACAACGTTATTTAACACGATGATTGCGAAACGAGGCTTCAAACACCTCGTCCGTGTCTCGTCTTTATAGCGGCAAGGAAAATCTTAAACTTATCTATCGTGCGAGAGGCGTAACTTCCGTCTGGTTCAGTCTAGGAAAGAGATAACTATATATCTGAGATGTGCTATTGATGCCGAGTTTTTTGGTATACCCACCTTAATACCGAATTTTTAAGCCTCGTACCGCACTAAATAAATAAAAGTTTAATACAGTGCGTTACGAGGTTGCGAACACCTCGTACCCCCGCACACTTCGTACCGCACCCTACACTAGCTTTACGCGGTCAGTGTTGTGCAAAACGTTGAACGCTGCGTTCGTGACGATATAATAAGATGTCGAAACGTTGCCGAAGAAAGTGAATTAATAATATTATTGATGATGAAGAGGAATTGGGTGGTAAATCTAAATTACCGATCTTTGAAAAACAGGTAAGTTTCCAATCAATATTTACAAATTATACTCAGTCTAAGTAAAATAATTATGTAGGAATATAAGAAATAAATTCAACTGACAAAAGCAAAACACACACCGGCCGTAACGATCCCATACTTACGGCCTGGCCACGGGGATCGGTGGCGCGAACGGCGAAGCGACAGGCGGGGCGAAAATTCGCGCGGCGCGATTTGAGGGCCACGGGAAGTCACGTTTGCCGCCGCGACCAGATAGGCCGAGAGCGAAATGTCTTTATCAAAGTTATCTCGGTATTGCTTAGAAAGTAATTGTTTTTTGATTCAAGACATAATATTTGGATGAGATTGAGGAGTACTTGATTTGAATAATAATCGGGTTATAGATGGAGAATTCCACAAACAAATAGAATGCATCTAGAAAAAATTTCGAGTAAATACCAGAATGAGTGTTGAAACCTGCAATTATATTCTTGTTAATATTCAACCATAATTGGAGATAAAAGTCAATGCGGATAGAATTTTAAGTTGTTTTTGTCGGTCCGGCATTTTTCGCGGCGAAAACAACTAAAATATTTTGTTCCCTATAATATTCGCCGCGTCTGCCGCCGCGATTGCCGCCCGACTCCGTGGCTTGCACCCAGGGGGGGTACACTTCCATACTTTAGGTTGGGGTTCAATAATTTGCAAAGACACTAAGTGCCATCTTGTACTATATCCGCATAAACTTTCGAACATTAAATTCTGCGCTAGATGGCGACTACACCAATTCTGGTTATTCTCGAACTGGCAAGTAGCAACTTTATATCACATAATGGCTACCGGCGATTGAGCACGTTGTTGTTTTATTATAGTTTATAAGTGATTTTCGGTTGTTGTTACAATAAGTTTGGTTGAGTTGGGAGCCCTCTTTTTCTTGTTGTCTGTTTAGATTTTCATGCTGGAACCACATTGTATGTTTGTGTAGTGTTGGTGCGAAATAGATTTCATTTATCATTCCTGTAACCCGGTGGACATATTTAATTTGGTTTGGTGTTGTATTTTGCGGAATAGATGCTTTTACATCGTGTATGTTAAATATATACAACAAAAATAAATGTTAATATTACTGACATCTATAATACATCTTTAATTGAACCCTGATCCCTTAAAATTTAAATATAACCGCCTATAGTATAGATAGCTGTATATACATAACTACATACAGCTATCTATAGTCAACATGATATTGAGATTAGTTCAAGGGATATTATCGGAGACGGCGACACTATTCATATTGGGTGACAAAAAATCCTAGGAGATGGCTCTCTATTTCTGTATATATTACTCTACTCTATGCTTGCACCGTACTGATTCATACATTTGTTTCAGTCGCCCGCCGCGCCGCCAGTCGCCCGCGCGATTCGCCCGGTAAATTTCGTCGGTCGCGTCGCCACTCGCCGCTACGCGTGGCTTGCTCCATGCATTTCTATACATTTATTTAAGTCGCTAGATGCCTCGCCGTTCGCGCCGCGTGAATTTTCGCTACGGCGAATGTCCCGTGGCCAGGCTGTTAGGCCTCTGCCTCGAATCTTGCGGGCAGCGGAGCGACGGCGACGGCGGCGCGGGAGCGGAGCGGGCAACGCAGACCCGTTCACGAAACTAGCGGGCAGATCGCGCGACACTATAGCGGCGTAGTGATGTGTTCATGGTTGTGTTGTCGAGATGTTTGTTTTTATTTGCGAATGAAATGTCGGAACAACGGCGACAACATCTTTTTGATTCAAATTTATTTCTAACGCTCGATTTACTGTGGGCAAAAGAAGAAGTGAATCCCTACTACTTATAGGGCAAGGAAAAGAAAAGGCGAGTTTTATCGAAATTACGAAGAACAGAGACAATGTGTGATCTGTGAGACCAGAATGAGCGTAGAAACTTTTGACTAAATTCTTGAAGCTATCAAGGGCGATTTAGAGTTTGTATTCAGTTCGTTTTTAATTTCTTCCCATAACTGGTTAATTACTCTTCTATTTTTATGGTTCACATCTTTGCTGTTCCATATCGGTGTTCTCTCAAAAATTGCTGAAATAATTTGCTCTTGCACGTCCAAGGACATTTCGAAACGTCACAAAAATTAATTGCACAGCACTGCAATGCAGACGCGCGGGCGGTCACCGCTTGACTGGAGTACACCGCTCGTTGCCCGCCCCCGCGCCGCTGCCAAGCCGCTGTTTTCGAGAGTCGGTCCATTTGATTTTACGCATAAGATCCTCGCCGCTCCCGCGCCGCCGCCGCTGCCGTCCCGCTGCCCGCAAGATTCGAGGCAGAGGCGTTAGGTACAGAAATGCTCCAATAAATCGCTACACCTAATCAACCCGCTTTAAAAATACACTATCAGTTGTTTTATTTTTTCAGAACCCTCTCCAAACAATCCACATCATCTCAAAAAAGGATCAAAGAAGAAGAGATGTGTGGGATGCTACGAAAAACTTTGCAATTTCTTATCAGGTCGTGAGGCTGACATAAAAGCAAAGAAAATTCTCACATAATGTATCGGTTGCAAAAATATTATTGTTTGACCTGTTTTAATAAAAAGCACCATAAGTACAATTACATAAAATCGATACTTTTTTCCCATCACTAAACAATACGAAAAACTGCCATTTTTCATTGCGGTATGGGGTACAAAAGACCCCACATTTTATTTTACCTATAGAATCTAAACTAAATAATCTGCCCACAGGCGGCGGCAGATTTAGGTTAATCAACTCATTGATAATAATAATCGCGACAAAAACCGTACAAATTGCCTTATTTGGCGCCAAAAAAAGGTTTTTTGTCTCATGTGTGTGTTGTGTGGGTGTGTGTGGGGTTTTCTAAGCCTCGTGCCGCTACAACCCCTGGTTCAGAACGAGGTTTCAAACGTCTCCTAACGCAGTAGTGGAAAGTACAGATAAATCAGTGCCACTGAGAACGTGTTAATTGGAAAGTAAGATTAAAATAAAATCTTATCAGTTTGTAGAGTAGAATACACAAAACGATGCCTCTGTGCTTTACTTTTCAATGTTCTGCGCATTTTAACTCAATTTTTTATTTTTCCTCTTTTATGAATATCTGTGATTTGGTTTATTTATTTTTGATCTTATGAATGTAAAATATACTTTCATAATTCTATTCTCTTCTGCTTCTAATTCATATAAAATATAATAATTATAATGATTTCTTAAAAATTTGGGCATGTTAAATAACCATTTAAAAGGACAAGTAATTATTAATTATTGTATGCCTGGAGCATCCTTTATTCATATAATGAATAAAGTTTTAACTAGTAAGTTCTGTCCTAATAGCTTACTTACTTACTTACTTATCTTCACGCACAATCCCTAACGGGGTAGCCAGAGAGAACAGATCGCCAAGTGTCACGATCCTTACATACCTCTTTCGCTTCCTTCAGGTTCATTAACTTCTTCATACATGCACGTCTAGGTATCCGAGTACTCTTGACCCTCCCCTCTTCGAGCAATTTGCTCACATGGTCTTCGAAAGTTAGTCTCGGTCTACCTCGACACCTTTTAATATTTACTTTCGCTCTATATATTTTCTTCACCATTCGGTCTTCACTCATTCGCTCAACGTGCCCAAACCATTGGAGTACGCCTCTATCAATTTTTGTGATAAGGTCATCTTTCAATCCTGCCATATTGCGAATCTCTTCGTTTCGCTTTCGATCGGCTATGGTAACGCCACACATTTTACGAAGGGATCGCATCTCCACTGCATTCAACTTGCTTTTATGCTTCTTCTGGCATACCCAGGTTTCGCTGCCATATAACAAAGTCGGTACCAACACTGCGTTATGTATTGCAAAGCGTGCACTCTTCACCACGCCTTGCCTTTTGACCAATGCATTCAGGGCACCATTGACTTTGTTTCCGGCAGCGACACGCCTATCCACATCTAAATCACATCTTCCATCCCAGCTGAAAGCACTCCCCAAGTATACAATTTCATTTTGAAATTGAAATTGTCCTAATAGCACATTAATAATTCTAGTTGGGAGAAGAGGCAATGTAAACAAAAGTCAATTATTAAAATATATTGATTACCTCAATACTTTAAATGTACATAAAATTATCTTGTTTATATTGCCTTACATACAGGGTTGGCCACAGGAGAATAAAATAATAATAATGAGGCGTAGGGAATTGACGACCCCATCGCCCGCTGACGTAACAGTTAAGTGACAAAACTGCTACGTCAACGCAGTCAGTCAGCGCCTTGCGAGGGGTGTGAGCGCCGTGCCTCGGCAGAATTTAGGGTGCAGAGGCCCGTTTGTGCTTATGGCTACACACGAAACGGTGCCGGGCCTGGGCGTCTCCCGTTAATGGACGCCCAAATAATGGATGATGGATAAGAAGAAACGTGTCTCCCTATCACGTGTCTACCGACCATATACAAGACACTAACATCCATTTTGAGCGCGAGAATCACTTGTCACCTGGACTCAAATCAGGTGATGTCGCGCGCTCAAAATGGATGTCGGGGCGGTGGTCGTGGAACCAAGGAACCACTCCTCATTGACGCGGTCATTGGCAAAGTGGTGAAACGCAACCATCGGAACTTCTCTGCCGCCTGGATAGAATACAGAAAAGCATTCGACTCGGTGCCCCATACATGGCTAAAGAGAGTCCTCGAGCTGTACAAGATAGACTGTACAGTTAGAGACTTCCTCGAGCAGTGAATGGGGCAGTGGAGTACGATCCTTTGTCATCTGGGCCAGCGGATGATGGCTGCGGAGAACCACATAAGGATAAGAAGGGGTATCTTCCAGGGCGATTGTCTGAGTCCAATCTGGTTCTGCCTCTCTCTGAACCTCTCAGTACCTTACTGGAGGGCTCCGGGAGGGGATTTCAGCTACGGAAAGGAGGGACAAAAGTGACCCACCTTTTCTATATGGATGACCTCAAGTTATTCGCCTCCAGTCGCTCCCATCTTATAGAATTGCTAAACATCACTTGTGAATTTAGCAATTCCATTGGAATGGAGCTTGGGACGGATAAGTGTGCGGTCCTCCATGTTGAAAGGGGAAGGGTTGCTAACTCTGAGGGTATAGACTTATCTATGCCCGTCAACTTAATAACCCTTTCCGGGGCTGAAACATACCGATACCTGGGTATGTCACAAAACATCGGTATCGATTAGACTGGTATGAAACAGTCAGTTTGCGACGTGTTTTATGCACGCTTGACCAAAGTACTTAACAGCCTTTTGTCCGGTGTGAATAAGGCACACGCATATAACGGCTGGGTCATGCCTGTCCTCATGTATACCTTTGGCATACTCAGGTGGGCTCAGACTGAACTTAACGCCCTGGATAGAAAAGTCCGCACTACCATGACGTCCCATAGGATGCATCATCCGAGATCGTCGGTAATGAGGCTGTACTTGCCGCGGAAGCATGGTGGTCGTGGCTTCTTGAGCGCGCTCACCATGTATAATCGCGAAGTGTGCAGCCTCCGTGATTACTTCCTGGCGAGATCGGATGATCCATTCTATAAGGACGTCATTTCTTGTGATAAAGGACTTACCCCTCTATCCTTAGCCAACGAGCAATGGCAAGACCCGGCAGTGCAGAGCATTTCCGACCGGGAGACCGTATGGAAGGAGAAGGAGCTCCACGGGAGGTTCTACAAGGCTCTACATGAGCCTTTCGTAGACACAGTAGCCTCCCTCCACTGGCTACGCTTTGGTGATCTCTTCGGGGAAACCGAGGGTTTTGTCTGTGCAATACAGGATCAGGTTATTAAGACCAACAACTATCGGAGATACATCCTAAAGGATGGCACCGTCGACATCTGTCGAGCTTGTCGCCATCCCGGTGAGTCACTTACGCACGTTATCTCCGGTTGTTCGGCGCTTTCTAACTCTGAGTACTTGCACAGGCACAACCTAGTAGCCAGAATTCTACACCAGGAGCTCGCTCTGAAATACGGTCTCGTGGATCGGAAATTGCCGTATTACAAGTACTTGCCGGAAGCCGTGCTCAAAAATGATCGCGCCAGGCTCTATTGGGACCGGGCCGGGCCATCATCACAGACAGGACTATTCTTGCGAATAAGCCTGATATTGTGCTGATGGACCGGGCACAGTCAAGGATATTTTTGGTCGACATTACCGTTCCATATGACGAGAACCTTATGAAAGCCAAAACAGATAAGCAAACAAAATATCTGGACCTGGCTCACGAGGTGACCGACATGTGGGGTGGTCTGCCGACCGAAATTATTCCTATAGTCGTCTCTGCGAATGGGCTAATCCCAGTTAGCCTCTCGGGTCATCTGAGGCGGCTGGGACTACGTGGCGGACCGCTCCAGGCTCAAATGCAGAAGGCGGTGCTCCTCGATACCGCCCGCATCGTCCGCCGGTTTCTTTCCCTTTCCCCCCAACCCTCAGCCGTTTGGTCACCCTTGCCGAGGGCCTCCATATGGTTGGGATTTTATTTATTTATGTACTTTTATATTTATTTTATGTTATTGACATTTATGTATATTTATCTTTTCATTTTCATTTATAATTATATATTTATAGAACCCAATCAGATGAGAAAACTATATAGATACCCCACAATAATAATAAATATTAATAATATAATAATAAGGCGTAGAGAATTGACGACCCCATCGCCCGCTGACGTAACAGTTAAGTGACAAACGTCAACGCAGTCAGTCAGCGCCTTGCGAGAGGTGTGAGCGCCGTGCCTCGGCAGAATTTAGGGTGCGTTTGTGCTTATGGCTACACACGAAACGGTGCCGGGCCTGGGCGTCTCCCGTTAATGGACGCCCAAATAATGGATGATGGATAAGAAGATAGTGCGCAAAGGGCCGCTGCCTGGGGGTCGCCGGGGCGCGTCTGGAGCTTGCGCTGGACGCGGCAGCATGCGGGCCGCCAGCCGAGCACGAGGAGCTGCACGGTCACCTAGCAGCCCTCCACATCCATCATCCCCACCAGAAGGCTTGGTGTCGGCTGGGTCTTCTCGGACTCAGCAAGCGGCACCCGCCGCTGGTGGAGCACGTCGCATGCATTGGTCACAAGCAATGAATGCAAACGCACTGCGGGCGTACTTTAGGGCAAAAGGGGAAGAAACTGGATGTTTGGCGTATCGGGCTAGGATGCATCGTCTTTTTGCTGAGCTGGAGCCATCTTTAACCGTCACAGAGCAAAACCTGGCAGACCGAGTTCGGTATATCTTGCGCTCAAATATATTTGATGTCGCCGAACTCGAACGGCTACGACGTGAGGCTGTTCCCTCGTCGGATGAGAAAGCTACGACTGAGGATGCGGCGCCACAAATGGTAGAGCAACCCGCAAACGTGGATGCCGCCGTGAATACCCCAGTTGTGGTTGATTCAAACGATGATGGAACAGTCGCCCAGGAACTGGAATTAGAGCATATGAAGAGTACATTGGAAGAGGCGATTGTGGAAACGCGCAGTACACCTCTCGAAAATCGACCGCGACTTCCCCGCATAGCCCTAAGCAAGCGGAATCGGGCTGTCGTGAGGGCTCTGAACCCAATGCTGGTGACCTATTTGGAAGCCAGCCGGGACCTTTGCGAGACGGACTCAATTCTTTTTGGCGCCACGCTGGCAGTCTGCCGTATCATAGGTGCCAAGGTTTCCACGGCTGGACGCGCTACTGGCCATAGTAGCGCTATCCCAGCATGGAGAAGAAGAATTGAGGAACGTATCGCAAAGGCTAGAGCTTTCATTGGCAGACTGATATGCTTCAGATCAGGCAACAACAGGCCCTGAATTGTGCGCACCGTCAGGATGGCGTTTGCTGGGACAAATGTCAGTTTGTCCCAGCGGATATAACGCAAAAACTGACGGAGCGCATAGATGATCTGAAGCAGAGAATCGCTGCTTGGGGAAAGCGGATTCGGCGATATACCGAGAGGTCGACACGGTTCAACCAGAATCGTCTCTTCCAGAGTGATCAGAAGAGGCTCTATGAATCATTGGAGCGACCAATGGTAAGTGGAACGGGTCCAGCACCGAATCAAGCCGACACTGTAGCATTCTGGCGCGGCCTGTGGTCAGAGCCCGTAAACCACAGCGAGGGTCCTTGGACGAAAGTTGTGGCGAGTCAGTGTGCGGGTATTACGCCCATGGACCCCGTCATCATAACGCCGGATGACGTAGCTGAGGCGGTCCGTAGGGCCCCGAACTGGAAAAGTTCGGGGCTTGACGGGCTGCATCACTACTGGCTGAAGGGGTTCATGGTGTGTCACTCTGTGCTCGCCCGACAGTTTCAAGAGGCTCTCAACCAGAAGTCGCTCCCAAGCCTCTTCACTACTGGGATCACTCATTTGGTTCCTAAAGACCAAGGTACCACAGACCCGAGCAAATACCGCCCCATCACGTGTCTACCGACCATATACAAGACACTAACATCCATTTTGAGCGCGAGAATCACTTGTCACCTGGACTCAAATCAGGTGATGTCGCGCGCTCAAAATGGATGTCGGGGCGGTGGTCGTGGAACCAAGGAACCACTCCTCATTGACGCGGTCATTGGCAAAGTGGTGAAACGCAACCGTCGGAACTTCTCTGCCGCCTGGATAGACTACAGAAAGGCATTCGACTCGGTGCCCCATACATGGCTAAAGAGAGTCCTCGAGCTGTACAAGATAGACTGTACAGTTAGAGACTTCCTCGAGCAGTGTATGGGGCAGTGGAGTACGATCCTTTGTCATCTGGGCGAGCGGATGATGGCTGCGGAGAACCACATAAGGATAAGAAGGGGTATATTCCAGGGCGATTGTCTGAGTCCAATCTGGTTCTGCCTCTCTCTGAACCTCTCAGTACCTTACTGGAGGGCTCCGGGAGGGGATTTCAGCTACGGAAAGGAGGGACAAAAGTGACCCACCTTTTCTCTATGGATGACCTCAAGTTATTCGCCTCCAGTCGCTCCCATCTTATGGAATTGCTAAACATCACTTGTGAATTTAGCAATTCCATTGGAATGGAGCTTGGGACGGATAAGTGTGCGGTCCTCCATGTTGAAAGGGGAAGGGTTGCTAACTCTGAGAGCATAGAATTATCTATGTCCGTCAACTTAATAACCCTTTCCGAGGCTGAAACATACCGATACCTGGGTATGTCACAAAACATCGGTATCGATTAGACTGGTATGAAACAGTCAGTTTGCGACGTGTTTTATGCACGCTTGACCAAAGTGCTTAACAGCCTTTTGTCCGGTGTGAATAAGGCACACGCATATAACGGCTGGGTCATGCCTGTCCTCTTGTATACCTTTGGCATACTCAGGTGGGCTCAGACTGAACTTAACGCCCTGGATAGAAAAGTCCGCACTACCATGACGTCCCATAGGATGCATCATCCGAGATCGTCGGTAATGAGGCTGTACTTGCCGCGGAAGCATGGTGGTCGTGGTTTCTTGAGCACGCTCACCATGCATAATCGCGAAGTGTGCAGCCTCCGTGATTACTTCCTGGCGAGATCAGATGATCCATTCTATAAGGACGTCATTTCTTGTGATAAAGGACTTACCCCTCTATCCTTAGCCAACGAGCAATGGCAAGACCCGGCAGTGCAGAGCATTTCCGACCGGGAGACCGTATGGAAGGAGAAGGAGCTCCACGGGAGGTTCTACAAGGCTCTACATGAGCCTTTCGTAGACACAGTAGCCTCCCTCCACTGGCTACGCTTTGGTGATCTCTTCGGGGAAACCGAGGGTTTTGTCTGTGCAATACAGGATCAGGTTATTAAGACCAACAACTATCGGAGATACATCCTAAAGGATGGCACCGTCGACATCTGTCGAGCTTGTCGCCATCCCGGTGAGTCACTTAGGCATGTTATCTTCGGTTGTTCGTCGCTTTCTAACTCTGAGTACTTGCACAAGCACAACCTAGTAGCCAGAATTCTACACCAGGAGCTCGCTCTGAAATACGGTCTCGTGGATCGGAAATTGCCGTATTACAAGTACTTGCCGGAAGCCGTGCTCGAAAATGATCGCGCCAGGCTCTATTGGGACCGGGCCATCATTACAGACAGGACTATTCTTGCGAATAAGCCTGATATTGTGCTGATGGACCTGGCACAGTCAAGGATATTTTTGGTCGACATTACCGTTCCGTATGACGAGAACCTTATGAAAGCCGAAACAGATAAGCAAACAAAATATCTGGACCTGGCTCACGAGGTGACCGACATGTGGGGTGGTCTGCCGACCGAAATTATTCCTGTAGTCGTCTCTGCGAATGGGCTAATCCCAGTTAGCCTCTCGGGTCATCTGTGGCGGCTGGGACTACGTGGCGGACCGCTCCAGGCTCAAATGCAGAAGGCGGTGCTCCTCGATACCGCCCGCATCGTGCGCCGGTTTCTTTCCCTTTCCCCCTAACCCTCGGCCCTTTGGTCTCCCCTGCTGAGGGCCTCCATCTGGTTGGGCTTTTATTTGTTTATGTACTTTTATATTTATCTAATGTTATTGATATTTATGTATATTTATCTTTTCATTTTCATTTATAATTATATATTTATAGAACCCAACCAGATGAGAAAACTATATAGACACCCCACAATAATAATAATAAAAACTATCGGAGATACATCCTAAAGGATGGCACTCTCGACGTCTGTCGAGCTTGTCGCCATCCCGGGGAGTCACTTAGGCGTGTCATCTCCGGTTGTTCGGCGCTTTCTAACTCTGAGTATTTGCACAGGCACAACCTAGTAGCCAGAAATCTACATCAGGAGCTCGCTCTGAAATAGGATCTCGTGGACCGAAAATTGCCGTATTACAAGTACTTGCCGGAAGCCGTGCTCGAAAATGACCGCGCCAGGCTCTACTGGGACCGGGCCATCATCACAGACAGGACTATTCTTGCGAATAAGCCTGATATTGTGCTGATGGACCGGGCACAGTCAAGGATATTTTTGATCGACATTACCATTCCGTATGACGAGAACCTCGTGAAAGCCGAAACAGACAAGCAATCAAAATATCTGGACCTGGCTCACGAGGTGACCGACATGTGGGGTGAATGAAATTATTCCTGTAGTCGTGTCTGCAAACGGGTTAATTCCAGCCAGCCTCTCGGGCCATCTGAGGCGACTAGGATTCCGTGACGGACCGCTCCGGGCTCAAATGCAGAAGGCGGTGCTCCTCGATACCGCCCGCATCGTCCGCCGGTTTCTTTCCCTTTCCCCCTTACCCTTGGCCGTTTGGTCTCCCTTACCGAGGGCTTCCATCTGGTTGAGCTTTTATTTATTTATTTATTTATTTATGTTAGTATATTAAACATATATTTAAGTATATTTATTTTTCCCTTTATATATTTATACAGCCCACCCAGATGTGATTACTCTATTAATAACCCAGGAATAATAATAATTTATTTGACTCTCAATTGACAGGTTACACTTATGTATTATATCTATTTTAAATTACAAAATTACATTTCAAAGTAGTTGGCAAATAAGATATGATTTAAATTTATTAATTAATAATTTGTCATGTAACAATAATTTAAATTTGACATTTAATTGTAATAATTATACTAATAGAATTAATTTAATAGACATTAATAATTTAATTAAGAAATTTTTGACTAAAAATAGGTATTACCTATCCAAATATAATTTAAGACGGATAGCAAATGTGCTATCATATTATTTATATATTAACTCAGCCAAGGACTTGGCTACCCAGACATCTGCTCCTATTGAGCAGCATAATGATGAGACATGCAATTTGGAATCCGTTTCAAGTAATATAAATTACGGGTGCCTCTATAGGTCCCATAGCGGTAATGCCGAAACAGACCGACTCTTCGACCACGTCCAAATGGCTGCAGATTCGTTGCTACAGCAGATCCCCTCCGCAGAGATCGTGATCCTCGGCGACTTTAACGCCCATCACGCCGAATGGCTCGGTTCACGTTTAACCGATCATGCGGGGAGATCTGTTCATGATTTTGCCTTGGCATATGGTCTGACACAACTGGTTACTTCGCCTACGCGGATTCCAGATGTGGAGGATCATGCACCTTCCCTGTTGGACCTTCTGCTGACCTCTCACCCGGACGGATATCAGATTTCCGTCGACGCCCCTTTAGGCTCCTCGGACCATTGTCTTGTCCGGAGTGTGGTGCCACTCACGCTGAAATCGCGGTTGCATTCTGCAGGCTGCCGCCGTGTTTGGCACTATAGGTCAGCCGATTGGGATGGGATGCGGTCTTTCTTTGCATCCTACCCTTGGGGGCGGGTTTGCTTCTCGCCGGATGATCCCAACGTTGTTGCGGATTCTGTCGCTGATGTGGTACTTCAGGGTATGGAACTTTTTATTCCTTCCTCTGTGGTGCCCATTGGAGGCAAATCTCAGCCATGGTTTGGTCGCTCCTGTAAAATAGCATCATGCTATAAGCAGGAGTGCTACCGAGCCTGGGCTGACGCTTCAGCGTCCAGGGATGTAAACACCAGCGCTCTAAAAAAGAAGTATAATTCTGTCCCCAGGTTTTTCAAAAGAGTCCTTGCCAAAGCAAAGTCAGAGCACATAGGCACAATTGGCGAGAGACTAGTACGTCCTCCTTCTGGAACCCGTGCATTCTGGTCTCTCGCCAAGGCTGTCCAGGGGAATTTCTGTCAGCCATCTCTTCCATCTCTGCACAGGGAGGACGACTCACTGGCCCACACCGCAAAGGAGAAAGCCGATCTTCTAGGCTCTTTCTTTGCGTCTAACTCGACTCTCGATGACGGGGGGAGTACGCCGCCGACCATCCCGCAGT